TGGAACATGGAAGAACATGAATACGAACCATTCTGAAATTGCTCGCCCAGTGTACATATTCCATCTTAGCCGAGCACTCAAATGCCGAGTAAGGCAAATGTTAAGCGACTTACAAAATGTAACTTTCAGCTCAATAAACCGGTCAACATTCATCTGGACACACTCGAGTACCACATCCTGACACGTTATGATCTTTTGCCTTGGCCCATCTCTCCGATTACTGCTGGCCCATCTTTCTATTCTTTCTCCGGCTGCTCTCCCCAGCTCGGTGTTTTCCCGAATTTCCATTTGTCTTCAGATGAGCAGATACGGTTTAAGAAAGGATTTCCATAGTTAAAGGCAAGCATCGAAAGCAAACTAATAAAAACAGAATTTGTAATTAATTTGCCCCCCAAACTGCATCTCGAACATTAATCTCGAATTAACTAGTAAATAATTTGATGAAATCTTGATTTTGATATAACTCAGGCGTTAAATCATATCTTTTCGTTCTGCGGGACGAAAAAAATCTCAGCGTAGTGAATCATATTTTATTACATAATGAAATTTCCATTATTATAATAAAAATAAAAGGAATATATTTTGATCGAGCCATTTTGGACTAGATCAAAATGGCTCAATTAAATTTTAGTGCTTCTTCTATTAGTGAAGTTTCTAGAAAAAAAATATATCAAACGACGCAATGCACCTTGGGTCGCTACGGAAACAGCCTCCTTGTATAATTAAGGTATGCGTACAACTGACCCCCCAGATCCCAACCAGTTGGGAATATACTGGGTATGTTGTTGTTGTTGTTGATATGATATATCAAACAGTTTAATAAAGTTCAAGGATATCATGATAAAGTTTTCATGAGATTTTTTTGTCACATTATTACCTATTGTCAAATAAAAGGAAAATTTCAACTTCATATCAAAATCATAGGATAATGGGGTACTCTTATTAGTATTACTGGTTTATAATAGTTAAAAAAGGTTAAAAATAGGTAGTGGTAAAAGACAAACATGCATACCCCAAAGCAGAACCCTTGGAACTGGTTGCCTTCCACATCGAAATTGGTGGAGCTCATATCACACGAGTTTCTCTTGTTTGAGATGGAAAAAGAAGGCTCGTTGCACGAATCTTGTGAAGATAACTGAGTTGGAGGTGTAGCCGAACGAGTAGAACACCCAAACAACTCAGTGTCACCGTGGAATATCTCATCAAAGAGCTCTTGCAATTCTTCAAAAGTCTCGTTTTTATTTTCCTGTCAAACCATATACAGCTACATTTGAACACGCAAATGGGGCCACCCTACTTAGCCAGTAGTCCTATCTTAAATAGCAAACGTACATAAAAATGCAATCCGAGGTGAAATTTCAATAAAACATTTTAAGACATTGGAATCATAAACAAGCATCGGTATCTTGTCCTGGAGTCCAGTACCAAATAATTATTCAGAGTGTTTCTTCTTTTTTTTTCACTTATGTTATATATCATAGTTTGATCCGAAATATAGGTTGGATGTTTTGCACACATTAAGGCTATGTTTGGTAACTAATTAAGCTAGCATATAGCTTATAAGCTTCTTGTTTTCAGATAAACTTTTGTTTGGTAGGATGAACTTTTATAAGAAAAACCCGAACTTATCTCATAAGCATATTTGGGTAACTTTTCAAATAAGCTCGTTGAAAGAAATAAGCTCGTTGAAAGCTATAAATAATAAGTTATAAGCTCCAAAATCAGTTAAAAGCTATAAGCTAGCTTATCAGCTAGTTTTCTCAAACATAGCCTAAAACCAAACGATGAAAACATGAACTCACACTGAGATTATTCTGGCTCATCATTGCAGCCATTTCATTCAAGAAGTCACCCATACCCTGCATGTCATAACAACAAAATCAAACGAATAAATTCTAGCCGTGCCATTATCTTTAAAATTCAAGAGCATTCAGCCCACAAGTTGGATAACCAGTAAAACATAATCCGAACTAATATGACACAATTCAAAGGCTGAACAGCTAAGCATACCATAAACATACAAAATAGAAGAACTATCAATGGATAGAAAAAGGGATAAGCTAGGATGGGCTGAAATCACTAGAAAGGGAGTTTCAGAAAGACACCAAAGATTATCAAGACCACATAAAGTATGTGCGTATGTATGTATGTATGCGTATATATGTTTAGCCATTAGAACTCACGTGTTCGTCATCATCATCGTCGCAGTCATAGACTCCTACATCGTACAGAAACCTTTTGTTGGCATCCGAGAGCACTAGATAACATTAGCCATTCTTGTGAGTTCATCAATTCTCAGTTAAGGGCTGATAAAGTTGGACATTTGAGTGAGAAAGTATATGTTGAAAAAGAAGGACTTCCTAAACACTAGACAGTCTATGATATGTGGAAACAATTACCAGAATAGGCTTGCTGGATAGCTTGAAATTTTTTCTTTGCCTCCTCGACATAATTTGGGTTCCCAGAAGCAGAAAAACAGCGATCAGGGTGCCATTTCTATTCACATCCAAAAATAAATAAATCCAAATAAATTACAAATTAATTAAACAAAAAAAAAAAAAAATCGTATGGTGGAAGAATTAGAGGTATAATTTATTCCATCAAATCAAAATTTTTTAATTTTTCTAACCTCAAA